CCATTGCGTAAAAAGCTTTTAGAGAGAAAGAGAGATGTAGTTTGTAAATTGGAATGGTTTTGTGATGAATCTTGCTGATGAATTTGATTGGATTAATCTTTAATATCCAATCTTTGATTTTTGTTTGCCATTGTGGGTGTTTAGAGTGGAAAGCAATATAGTTAAACCCACAAAAAAAAAAAGGTAAAAGATCCAATTACGAAAAGTAAATTGGAGGGGTATTTTCGTCAATATCTTAAAATATATAAACAAGACTTTTAACTTAAAATTTTGAGAGTATGCCGGATCCATCGAACTTTTCTCTTCTTCTTCAGCCTCCTTAGCCGACACAGACACAGACACAGAGAAGAAGAAGACGTTGGAGAATAATCACACAAGCTTAAGAATTTTCGTGTTTCTCTACTCTCTATTTTGTGGGTTCGATTCCGGAGAATTTTGCTATCATCTGGAGCTTGAAGCTGCGTAGCTAAGTGAGTACAATTATGAGTTTGAGTTTTCTAACCTTTTTCTTCTATGGTGTGATTGGTGGGTTTTAGGGTTTTGATTTCAATACTAGGCGTATGGTTCCTAGTTTAGAACACAATCTACTGTTTTCTTGCAAGTTAGCTCCTTTTTTTGTAGAAACTGTGAGGGAATTTGAGTCAATCTTGCATTTTTATGGATGGTTTTGTTCATTACTAGTTGAAATTAGGTGATTCTTGGCTCAGCACCAGTTTTTTTTATAGGGAATGAGAGCTCTTGAAGTTGTGAATGTTCCTTTCGAATCTAGTGCAATGGACAACTCTGGATTAAGCGATACAGCTTTGGTGTTTTTCGTTAGAGATGCCCTTGAATCTGCCATAAATGTAAGTGATATGCTTCTTCCACATGTTCACATATGTGTGTCTGCCCGTGCTCTTTGTTCGTAATGGCCGTGTTCTCTCTAAACATATCTGATTTTATTAAATTCCAGGGAAACTCTGACCATTATACTCAGATTGTTGGATCTATGTACCTTAAAGAATATTCCGATACCGATGCAGTGGCACAGCTTGCGGTGTGTATTTTCCTCATATGACAAGTCAACTCT